CCTGCCCCCACCAGACCCTCCCCGCCTGCGCACCAGACTCTCCCCACCTGCCCCCACCAGACCGTCCCGGCAGCCCCCCCTCAGGTTGCTAACTGGGTTAAGGAGTGCCAGGCAGGCTCCCTCCACCCTGCTGGCACTGGGGCCTCTCCAAACTCCAGGATCAGTGATTTCCAACAACAGCCTCCTTTGTTGTCCACATCTGGGACTTTGGGGTTTAAAGTGAATCTCCTCAGGTGAAGAAAAAATGCTATTTTGGTTTGGGTTTGTTGGAGCTACAATGAGTCCATTCTGCAGGGAGCCTGGGCAGTGTGGGGCTGGCTGGCTGGGGGTGGGCATGGAGCTGTGGTGGGCCAGGTCAGACTGCAGAGAGGAGGAAGGAGGGCAAGGAAGTGGGGCGGGGGAGGAGGGGGGCCCTGACCTCCCGCTGCTGGGGTCTGCACTGCACTCATCATTTCCAGACGGCGCCGGTGCCAGTGCCGGTGCTGGTGAGCCTTGGCCTTGCTTGGGTCTCAGCTCTCCAGAATGGCAGGAGGCTGGGCCGTGGCCTGGCCTGGCCTGGCCCGGCCTCCCCAGGAGGCCTTTCCCACCCCAACTCAATCCCAGCCTGTCCTGGAAGTAAAAAAGCACTGCTTTCCCCTCTTGATTGGGTTCTGTTTGAACAGGGGTCATCCCCCGCTCAAAGCACAGGAACGCCCCATCCTCGGAGGGAGCCCAGGACCTCAGGTGCACTCGGGGACAGTGAGGTGAGGGGCAGGCCGCAGTCCCAGCCCCAGGGCCAGCGGAGGATTCGGGGCAGAGTCCACGGTGAGCTGGGCTGGCGGTGTGGCTCAATGCTTCCACCCTGGCACACAAAAGTATATACATGAAATAAATAAAAATGACAATCCTCCCCCAGGAGCCTGAAAAACCACCTTCCGGCTCTTTCTACCAGGGGCACAGACAGTGATCCTGGCCTGGACCATGCAGCCCTGGCTTCTCAAGACCCTGGGGAGGGCGCAATGCGCCGAGATCTCAGCCCCGGCCGTTGCCAGCTGACTG